TAAAAATAACCAAATGAAAAGTAGTTCTGCAAAATCCATTACTGGAAATTCTGAAAGGAGAATAATCCCTAATGATTCATAATTCAAAATCACAAAAGAAACCAAGCACCTGTCTTTCACCATTTTAAAATCTGGTAAATTGTCTGTTTTCAAAATTAATTTTCACTCAACGTGTTTTAATATCACAGCTCAGTTTGAAAAATTCAAGTCACTTACTCTGTGTATCTTGCTATTTAGAGTACAGCACAATTAATCTCTTTATGTTCAATTGTCTGTCTAGTGTGAAGCATGTTTAATTTCCCTTTTAAGTATAGGATTTTAATTTACACAAGTGCATAAAATTAAAAAAGAAACTGAAGACTTCTCTCATTTTCTATGGCTTTAAAATAATTATGAACCAAATATAATCACACCGGCCCTGGTATAGCTAATTTAATTTAACGCTCTGTAGATGTAGATATGTGCAACATATTTATTTCACATGTTTTGTTTTTTCATATGTTTTTTGTGGTTTTGTTATTGTTTTATACTTAGTATCTTGACTGAATTTAATTGCTGTTTACTTTGGATAAAAGTACAAAGTTTCCTTTTCTGAAATTTAAAATTCTTGTTAATTATATAAGTAATCCATTACACCAGTAACTTGGAATTGTAATGGATTACATCTTTTGGGTAACTTCTCCCAACACTAAAGACAGTAAACATAATGAAGCAGACCTCACACAGCCTTTTCAGGGATCGAAGTAACTTAGAAACTTTGTTTCCCTGCTGCTTTTGTTGATGTGATATAAAGTTCCTCAGGAGTAAATTTTCTGCTTCACAGACATCCAGTAGAGACATCCAGCAGTGATCATGTGTATAACTTTGCTACAAGTACAGGAGTTAATGGAGTTCAAGAACAGTAAGATACTCATTAGCACAAAATGGTCTCAATGGGTTATAGCTGCTCAAAAACATTTATTGAAGAGAGGAAACAAAACAAAAGTAATGCATTAGACATTTTATTTTTAAGATCTATATCTGATGATCACCTATCTCATAGAGAATAAATGCTAGGGCATTACAGGGCTGTCAATAACAGTACAAATTTATTTCTATGCTCTTGTCATGTGAAATGTCCTTCACAGCAGTGTTTAGCACACTTAAAAATCTAGAATCTTATACCTTACAGAGGAATTTAGCCACTTCCAATAATATCTCATTTTGTTGAGTTATTAGTAATGTATATGCATGTTTTGAGTGAATATTTTAATACTGGCTTGAATGCTCAAATACTTGTAAGGAGGAAAAAATAAATGTCATCAAACTCTAATGTGAATTCAAAACCTAAAATGAGTTCACTCCCTTTCCTTCGACAAATCCAAATCAGATCTGGTACACAAAGCCTCTTTGACGAGTCACACAATTAGTTGAATGGCTTCTCTCCGAGTGCAATAATTAGTGGTTCACATTATTTCAGAATAAAAACATCTGTTTCTGTAAAG